AAAAAAAAAAAAAAAAAATACAAAACTTAAATGAGTTTATATAGTAAATAACAACTATTCAACAAAAGCCTTTAAAAGTCGTTTTTCATATATACACACAGGTATATTATTTACAAGTCTCAAACAAAATTTAATTGGATACATCAGAATTCTAAATTTTACAAAATTATTAAAATTTTACAAAATCATTAAAAAAAGCAATCTGGAAGGAGAATAAGTTTTCATACTTTTCAAAAGTAAAATTTACTCCTACGAAGGGCATGAAAAGGGTCACCACGTTCCTCTACATATATGTATATATAAAGCTCCCAATAGCCAGTGTGCTATGTACCATACCAACAACATCAGTTCAAATTCAAAGACCACTTACAATTCTGCAAATTCAGATAATGACAATGAGTGCACATAAACATTCTATTCTTTCAGCTTTGTTATCAGCTCTCATTCTCATGTTCTTCAAACTAAGCCATTGTATCCTCTGCCCCGAAATCGAAAAACAATCACTTTTAAGCTTCAAGCAATCTCTCAACGGCTCATCAAACGTGTTGTCTTCTTGGGATGCTGCTAACTTCGATTGTTGCACGTGGAAAGGTGTTGTCTGTAGCAACTTAACTGGCCATGTTCTTGAACTCCACCTCCAAGGTAACTATTCTTTAGGTGGCAAAGTAAACCCTGCTTTGCTCAACTTAAAGCATTTGAAATATCTTGACTTGAGTCGAAACAGCTTTTTCGAAAATATCCCTTCTTTCATTGGTTCACTCACAAGCCTCGAGCATTTGAACATATCATTCACTGGATTTTACGGAAAGATTCCCCATAGTATTGGAAATCTTTCGAATCTGCGTACTCTAAGTTTGGAAACTGTGGACACCGGAGGAGAAGACTATTCAGGGCCGATGCTGGATGTCGATAGTCTTGAATGGTTGCCAGGGCTTTCGAAATTGGAGTATCTCAACATGAATCATGTGAACCTGAGCAGAGCAGCTAATTGGCCTCAGCAGGTGATCACTAAACTCCCTTCGTTATTCGAGTTGCATTTGAGTGGTTGTAATCTTAATCATATGGCTCCTCTGAATGATGTAAATAATATTAGTCATTCTCATATAGCCATTCTTGATATATCCTCAAATTACTTGGATGACGAATCTTACGGCATCATCATCCCTCGGTGGATTTTTCAACTCAGAGACCTTATCTATCTTGATATGAGTTTCAACTCATTGGAAGGCCCAATTCCAACAATGAGCAATACCACAAAACTCCAACACCTTGATCTCTCCAGTAACGATTTGAACTCAAGCATTCCACAGTGGCTCTACTCCTGCAAACACCTCCAGTACTTGGATTTAAGTCAAAACCAACTTTCTGGGAAAATACCAAGAAAAATTGCAAATTTGTGCAATATCCAAGTCTTGTCGTTGTCTTATAATGAGTTGGAAGGAGAGATATCTGATTTATTTGGAAACAATATGTCAGATTGTTTCTTAGGAGCTTTGTTGTTATCTTTAGAATTGTCAATGAATAAACTCTTCGGTCATCTGCCTCCTCAATTTGGATACTTTAAGCACCTTCGATCCCTAGATCTTAGCTACAACTCATTTTCAGGTGTAATTCCGGATGAATTAGGGAACTTGGTTTCCCTTGAATGGTTAGATCTTAGAGAAAACGCGTTGTCGGGTGTAATTCCAGATGCATTAGGGAACTTGGTTTCCCTTGAAACATTATACTTGGGTAATAATAAATTGAGGGGGAACTTACCAGAGAGTTTTGGGAAACTTGTGAACCTGACATGGCTTTCGATATATAATAACATGTTGGAAGGGGTTGTGACTGAAACCCACTTTGCCAATCTCTCAAATTTAGCTTACTTGTCTGCCTCTGGAAACCATTTGACTTTGAAAGTCAACCCCAATTGGATTCCACCATTCAAACTAAAGGGACTTAACCTAGAGTCTTGGGAGTTGGGATCTCAGTTCCCGTTATGGCTTCAGACTCAGAAAGAGAGTATCACCTTTCTTTATTTACCGTATACTGGAATCTATGGAAATGTTCCCAGCTGGGTATGGAGTTTGAGATATTTGAAATATCTCAACCTTTCGCATAACCAACTCGACGGAAATATTTTATCCATTAGTACTGATTATGAAAATGATGAATATGATTATGGCTTACATGTTTTTGACTTGAGCGCCAACAGTTTTAGTGGTCCACTGCCCAAACTAATGACAACTTCATTCTTGGAACTCCATCTGGACAACAACTCATTTTCCGGAGGTTTGTCAGAATTTTTTTGTATCAATGCATCCAATGTAGTGCTTATAAATATTGAAGGAAACCATCTTTTTGGAGAGTTACCTGATTGTTTTACCAAATGGCATTCATTGCAAATGTTGAACTTAGCCAACAACAAATTGTCAGGAAGAATACCGAATTCAATAGGATTTCTAACTAATTTAGAGTCCTTGAATCTGTATGGAAACAATTTCTCTGGCCACATACCTTCTTCATTGAAAAATTGCAAGAAACTAGTGAAGATCGACTTTGGTGATAACAATCTTGGTGGGGACATACCGAAATGGATTGACACAAGATTTTTCAATTTGAGATATCTTATTTTGCAGTCAAACAAATTCAGTGGTGAAATTAGTCGATCCATATGTCAGCTCACTTCTCTTCAAGTATTGGATCTCTCTAATAACAAACTGTCAGGAAGGCTACCTCAATGCCTCAACAGTCTTACCACAATGACCACTAAAAGGATTTTGAACAGGCCACAATATTCTCAGTATATTGAAAGTTCGGACAGTGGAATTACTTCATATGTAATAGAATTTCAGGAAAGCGCATCAATTGCAATGAAGGGAAGAGAACTCACCTACGACGCCAATCTCTTTTTGGTTATCAGTATTGACCTTTCAAACAACATCCTGTCTGGTGGTATCCCAATGGAGATAACAAGTCTAGTTGAACTCAGATCACTGAACCTGTCACGAAACAATCTAACAGGATCCATCCCAGACAACATTGGAAACATGAAGCAACTCGAATCTCTTGATTTCTCAATGAACTCCCTGTCCGGCAACATTCCAGGTAGCATGTCAATCATGACTTCTCTGAACTACTTGAATCTGTCTTATAACCACTTGACAGGGACAATCCCTCAAAGCACCCAAATTGGGAGTTTCAACGAGTCGAGCTTCATTGGCACCAATCTTTGTGGCCTTCCACTAACGATTTCTTGCAAAAATGATGGTAATTCCCCTGCCCCGACACAGCTGCAGATTCAAGGACAAAAAAGCACTAAGCAAGAGATTGATTGGTTTTACATATTCCTATCTTTAGGATACGTTGTTGGGCTTTCTGTTGTCCTCTCTGCATTGTTTTTTAAGAAGAAATGGAGGGAAGCTTATTATGGCTTCTTTCAGAAAATGTGGGACAATGTTTATGTGTATTTCATTATCCAATGGAGGAGGCTCATGAGAGCGTTGGGTCGAAATCCCTAATAGCTCTGCCAACAAATTATGCATGGAACTCTTCTGCAGAGGACTTTAAGCTATAATGTCTGTGTGGTATTTTGATTTTAGTCTCTATTGTGTGTGTTTTTAAATAAGCTGTTGCGATGTACTATGTTCATTATTTAATCTTTGGACTGTTGTAAGATCTTATATCTAATGATTACCACTACAATGCCCGTGTATTACACAGGTGATTGTTAATTTTTTTTTTTCTTAAAATTTAAAATTAATGAGAAAAAGTAATTAAAATTTTAAATACTTTTCATGAAAAAAAATATATATTATATATATTTTAATATGACACTTGTCATTTGTGTGACTTACATGTGTTATATTATAATAATTTTTCTACTTATAACATATACATTAAACATAAATATATTAATTGGAGAAATAATTTTATTCTAATTAATTTTAATAAATATTTTATTATTATTACGAATACAAATATAATTTATTTATTTCATATATACAATATGGATGTCAAATTGAAACTCATCAGAAAATGATTAATTTGATATATTATATATGTGAAACCGATAAAAAGTACAAAAGACATATTATCTATAATTATATTATATTAGCTATTCAATTAATTAATGGACTCAATTAAGTGATTTAAATAAAGTAAAGTCCATGGGCTACATAAATTGATATGGGCATATTGAGTGGATACCTAATATTACTAGGGTTAGGTGATAATGGGTGGTCTGCTCTATTAGTATATAAAGCCCTTCTTGGTTATGGTCCCTAATACACTAAATCAAACATAGCTCTCTTTTCTCCCCATCGGAATTTAGAACGACGGTCTCATACCAGGAATAAGGCGAGTTAATTGAGGAAGACCATAAAATCAACACCGTGCGTGATCAAGGATGTGTTCGTGGTATGTTTGTGATCCAAGTCATATTCCATGGTGATCGAATCTATAAATTCACTTAAAGTACGCTTCCGCTATCTAGTTTGATTCTCGATTATTTAATATGAAAGCTCCTGGTATATAGCGATGGTTTTCGCATAAGGCTAATTCCAACAAGTGATATCAGAGCCATTCATATTGGATTTTAGAGAATCAGATTTAATTTATGTTTCATTCGATTGGGAATTTGGTCATGCGGTGTTGGGTTTAAATGAGTTAAATCCAAATCGCTTGATAATGAAATCAAATTTATATTTGTTTTCTGTTCGTTGCACATTCAGAAATTATTTTTTAGATCCATTAACTCTAATCCTGCTAAGTTCGTATGACTTTGGCACATGTAATGATTAATTTGTAGTTGGTTGGTCTCTGTTTGTGAGATAAAGAAATCCTTCAGCCAATCAGAAAAATATTTATGCATTGGCTATAATTTTGGTGTATGCCAAAACCATGTTCATTTTTTATTGGATTCAATTTGTGATTTAATATTTGGTTTTAAACCATTCTGCGTAATGAATCCATCATGTTTCAATTTGGTGCAAACTTAATTGTTAATTTGATTTGATTGGCTAATTTGGTATAGATTCAAATATCAAATTGTTACAACTTACCTATATTAATTTAAAAATATGGAATTATTACAACTTACCTATATTAATTTGTTGAAAATGTTATATGAAATATAAATTATGCAAAATTACATTAAATATGCATATTTAAAATTAGTACACGACCCGTACCGTCAAGGACCCAAAAAAATAGTTATTAAAAAATAATTAAATAGAAGTTTCGTTAATACAATTATTTGGAATAATTTTATAAAAAAAAGTATTATTTAATAAATCAACAAAATTTACTCGACTTATAGTTAGGGATCCTTAAAAATGTATATCTTATGATCTAAATATTCCTTAATTATCTACCATTTGAATAATTAAATACACAAAAAATAAATAATAATTATTAAACAATATTTAAATAACAACGGAAATAAGAAACGTCTCAGAGTCGGCAAAATTTTTTAAACCGTAAGTCCTAATCCTAACTATAGATTCCGCTGTGTTAGGATTTATTATTCAATAGATTTGAATATGCACATTGTCGACTTTCCTAATAGAACCCAACAGCAACTTCGTCTTAAGACGAACGTAAGTATTACGTGTCTCGACCTTAATTTTGCATTTGTTCTCTTCATTCTTCTTAAGGCATCTTCTTGATATTCACAAACCACACAAACTACAGTATGCATTAGGGGTGAGCATAGGTCGGTACGTTTCAGAGATTGATAAATCTTTGAAACCGTACCGAAATTCGGAGATCACTAAAATCCGATCATCGAAACCGTACCAAAAATCAGTTCGATTCGATTCTGTATTCAGGACTATCAGAACGGTTCGGTTCGGTATGGTTTGGTTCGGATATTTCGAGATTTCTAATTATTTTAATTTTTTTTAAATGAAGACTTAGATATATTTTAATTTTTATATATTTTTTTAAGCCCAACATTTATTAATAATTCATCATACTAAATATTTTATTTTAAATCAACTAACACTAAAATTTAGGTAAGACTAAACGTGTCCAACATATTTTAATTTTTATATATTTTTTTAAGCCCAACATTTATTAATAATTCATCATACTAAATATTTTATTTTAAATCAACTATAAAAATAACACTAAAATCGATTGTTTCGGTTGCGGTTACTGGGCCTTTGGATCTCTCACTGATATCGATTGTTCATCTGCTGGTTCGACTCGATCTTTCTGCTGTGGAAGGTCTTTGTTCGTTGGTTTTTTAGGTTATTTGCTTTAGTTTGTTTTGGTTGTGATTGTATCGCTTAGGACTTATGTTTTTTTTGTTTGGGCCGTTGACCTCTGTAAGCCAGAGTGGGAGCCGGCATTATCCTATTGGGAACGGCTCCTGTCTATATTCTTCTGTTTTGAGTTTTGTAGTTTTTCCTAGTGTTTGTTGTGTTAGTTATCTCGTGAGTTTTGATTTTGGTTTCTAGCGTTGCTAGAGTCGAGATTCTAGGCGATCGTCAGACATGTCCTCCCATTTTATTCAACTTTTGGTTATTTTTTTCCTCTTGTTGGGAGTTTTGTAGTTTTATTCGCACATTTGAGTGTTTTGATATTTATAATATTCTTTATCGTTCCGACAAAAAAAAAAAAAAAAA